CTACTACGCTATACTACGTATAAGTGTTTAGTATTGAAATTATTTTGACGCACCGTGACAAAGTGCTCGTCATTATCCCTAAACCAAAACCGAACCCAATTTTAGCCTTATCCCAATTAACCCTTAGCCCAATTAACCCATATCCCAATACCCTTTATTCTAATATATGATGCTTCTGTGCAATACAGGCATAATGGCTCTAATTTCTGAGGAAGAAGTTTACCCAAAAGAGAGTTGGATTGAAATCAAGGACAATAATTACTTATTGGACACAGAGGTGTTCAAATGCAAAGACATGATCATGATATCCATTCTGAAGGGACACTCTCTCTGGCCAGCTCTCAATTTGTCCGCTAAAGTTCCCAAAATCTATCTGAGACAATTCTGGGGAACTATGCACTTAGTAACCACCTCACCCATTCTTACCCTTGAAGCCACCATAGCCAACTTCACCATCCAAATTACCCATGAAACCCTTAGAACCCTTCTCCAACTACCCACATCTACTAAATATGACCATTTTCCCATTGACTAAGACTTATTAGCTGATATGCTCAAAATTGGTCATTTACCACCTCTTACCCCATTCATCCACTTTATGGCCAATCGCTTACCCCGTCCCTTATTGTTGCAATGTTCACATGCTCAAGCCGGTCCATGGCGTGATGTTTGCAAAAAATTATGATTGGGTACAACTTATCCGGTCATCTATCTTATCTAGTCCCTATTCTTCACAATTGACTTGATCTCATCATCCATTGCATCTCTCCATTTCTTGTTTCTTATGGCTTCTTCAAAACTTAGTGGCTCGCAATCACCAAACAGAAAAAAGAGTGTAAGTTCATCATTTGAATTCATGTTATGTGTTACCTCGTAAAGCTCTTCGATGCTTCTCGTGCGTGGTTCTTCTCTTTCATTCGAATTTGGTGAGGGAGCTTGAGCTTGAGTGGGAGTTAGTGGGAGGAGTTATATTTTCATGATTCTCTTCAACTTCTTCATATTCCATGGGAGGTAAGAGACTATAGTCTTCTTTGTCACCAATGCTCCAATCTTACGAGCCTTCTTCATCAAACTCCACATCACGACTTATTATAAGCTTCTTCAAATCTGGATTGTAGAGTTTGTACCTTTTTGAGTGTTTATCGTATCTAATGAATATAAACTTCTCACTCTTGTCGTCGAGTTTTGATATAGTTTGATCAGGTATATGAGCATATGCAATACATCCAAATACTCTCAAGTGTGAGACTCCAGGTCTACCTCCATGCCATGCTTCTTGTGGACTTATTCCATCTACTCTTCATGGGGCAGCGATTTTGAAGATAGATGACACAATCCACACCGTCAACCTAAAATTCTTTAGGCATATTCTTCGTCTTTAGCATACTTCGATCCATGTTGAGGATAGTCCTATTCTTTATTTCGGCAACACCATTTTGTTGTGGTGTGCGCGAGACAGTCGTGGGACGGCAGCCGCCATTATCTTCACAAAATTGATTAAACTCCTTTGATGTGAACTCTCCACCCTGATCTGATCTCATGTCTATGATAACGTACCCACTTTCTTTCTCAATAAGGGCCTTAAATTTCTTGAATGCTTCAAAGGCCTCTGATTTTCGTTTAAGAAAATATACCCATATTTTTCTTGAGTAATCATCTATCAAAGTGAGAAAGTAATTACTTTTACCCTGAATACATGGAGTAATAGGACCACACAAGTCTGTATGGACCAACTCCAATGGCTCCTTAGCTCTTGAGGTAGCTTCTTTAGGGAATGGTTACCTTGACTGCTTCCTAAGTAGGCATCCTTCGCATAGCTGATCAGGATGATTGATGAAGGGAAAACCTTTCACCATGCCTTTGGACGATAGCATTTTCAAACCACCAAAGTTTAAGTGCCCATATCTTAAGTGCCAAATCCATGACTCATCTTTCAAGCAACTTTTCAAGCATATGGCTTGATCTCTTTGAATATCAAGCAAGAACACCTGGTTTCTAGTCATCGGCACTTTAGAAACTAGTCTCCCATTATTGTCTCGTAGAGAAAGACTGTGATTCTTTAAGTGAATATCATAGTCCTTTTCTAAGAGTTGTCCCACACTTAGAAAATTTGTTTTTAAGTTGGGCACATAGTAAACATCGGAAATGAATTGGTTACTTCCACTGTTTAGGCGAATTAGAACGTTACCTTTACGATTCACCACGACTTTAGACTCATCTCCAAAGTTAACATGACCTTGAGTTTGTTCCACCTTCACGAACAAGCTCTTATCTCCCCTCATGTGGTTGCTAGCTCTGGTATCTAAGTACCACATGCTTTTCTTTGTTTGTTCTTCATAGTTTGCCACCAACAAGGTAAGTTCTACCTCATTATTCATCTCCATGAGATGGGTCTCTTCTTTCACATGACGAGAGGTCTTGCATTCATATGCATAATGCCCATATTTATTGCAATTATGGCACTTTTGTTGCTATTTGTCATACCTTTGTGGTTTGCCTCCTCTTCCACGACCTCAAAATGCTTGTGTATATTGAATTCTTTCTTCATTGTTAAATTTTGTATAACCATGACCTCGACCACCTCTTCCACATGCACCACATCCTCGATCATAATCAATACCTCGTTGGCCTATTTCTTCACCTCTAGTCTCCCCTTTCTTTAAAAGAGAGTTTAGAGTAAACAGAATGCTCCAATGATTCATTAGACTTATTTCTCACAACTCTTTCTTCATGGACTTGTACTGAGCCCATAAGTTGATCAACGGTCATGGACTCTAAGGTTGTTTTTACTTGGACTGTAATTTGTCCCAGACCAGACAAGACCAAAGCAGACCATACCATATATTATAATTATTATTATTGTTATTATTATTGTTATTAGTATTGTTATTATTATTATTAGTATTATTACTATTACTACTATTATTACTATTATTACTATTACTATTATTATTATTACTATTACTATTATTATTATTATTACTATTACTATTACTATTACTATTACTATTACTATTACTATTACTATTACTATTACTATTACTATTACTATTACTATTACTATTACTATTATTATTATTATTATTATTATTATTATTATTATTATTATTATTATTATTATTATTATTATTATTATTATTATTATTATTATTATTATAAAGGAGTAGATTAGTTGGGGCTTTGGAGTTTGGGCTTTATTGTTAATCAATAATTAAATTAGTTTCCTAAAATTAAAGCCTAATTCTATGAAGTATTTATGGATTATAATATATATATTTATAATAAAATCTTTATGCAAAAAATATAAAAAATAAAATTTCAGACCAGATCAGACCAGACCAAAACAGACCTGACCTGACCTGACCAGACCAGATCAGCAAATTGCAGTCCAAGTAAAAACATCCTAAATCCTTGGACTCTTCTATGGCCACCACAATATAATCATAGTCTTTGGTGAGAGAGGGAAGAATTTTCTCAATCACCGTTATGTCTTTTAGTTCCTCACAATTCCTCTTCTTCTCATTTACAATTCCCAACACTCTAGAGAAATAGTCGGATATTGATTCTGAATACTTCATTTTAAGTTGTTCGGACTCACCTCTAAGAGTTTGAAGACGAATTCTCTTCACCTTGTCGACTCCCTTGAAAGAATTATATATGTAGTATCTCACATGCATCTTTAAGATTGATTTAAAGTAGTATCATCTTGAGGTTCCTCATAATGAGATCCTAGCAAGGCTTTCATGCGAATGCACCAACCAGAGTAGTTATCTTTGGTGAGACGAGGAAATTGGAATGAAACTAAGCTGTTGGCATTCATTTTTGTTGAAAGGATTGGTGACTCTGATACCACTTTGTTGGAAGAAAGTAGTTTATGAGTATTATATTTTGGTGATTGTGTGTGGAAGAGAGAATTTTAGAGAGAGATGATTTTGGAAGAACTTGAAACTTTTATTGTTTTGAAGCTTTTGGCTTGTATTACAAATGAGTGAGGAGTGCTCTATTTATAGGTCTCATAGGATCCTTCTAGACAGTTCTATATTTTTAACATTCTACAATATTTCATAGGATTCTAGCTTAGGAATATTCTAGAATTATTTAAGTACATAAACTAAAGAGTAATCTAGATCTTTCTTTACTAATCCTAACTTATGGGCTAACTAATTTATTATATCTCATACAACTATTAGCCCAAGAAGTTAACTTGTAATGAACGCAATTATTATGGGCTAAGCCAAATTTCAAATTTAATTTCTAACTGTTTTCAACTAGAGCTCTGGTACTAGCTATAAATAATGGTCTTGTGCACACACTTGTTTATGTGATACACCATACTTAGCCACAAATTGTTACTGAATATCCAGGGGTGGATCCATGAATCTGATATGCCCTGGGCTGAGGAACAATTATACTAGGTTTTAATATTAGCGGGGTTGGCTGAATATGAAAAAAGAAAAAAAACTACACAAAATATTATAAAAAAACTATTTACATTGGGGTTCAGCTCATGATAGCCTGTACATATAGATCCTCTGCACCGAGGGGTTCGATCACTACATTCCAAAGCTAAGGCGCGGTACAAGGATGATCATATTTGCATTGGGACCAATATCATTACAGTAATGACATACATATGCTTAGCTTGTGTCGGTGCATTTCCGTGAAAAAGTGTGACCTCAATGTTGAAGTTATTCAATATAAAATGTAGTCGATGAGAAACAATATCTAAGTTGTATCAGAAGTTAATTGTTGCAATGATTTGGACGGATCTCTAGAGAATGGCAAAAAGAATCAATTAATTACTACGAACTCTAAGCTATACAACATATATATAAACGAACAAATGGTAAACTATGAACTAAAGTAATCAAAGATATAAAATCTGACCTACATAGTAAACAAATACACATATATATACTCCATTTAATTTACATACAGTAAAGAAAGATATGAAATATGAACTAAAGTATGTATAAAAGGAAAAGGATATATATGATGAGTTTGGACATGAGCTTCAATTCTTACAATGAAATTTACAAAATGTTCTCCCAAGATTTAATGAACTAATTTAAATATGGAATGTAGATTGAGTCATACATGTATAGAGAGAAGAGGAATGTGGCTTCAGTATGAGAGAGATGACAACAATCATTGTAGTTTAGTTAGTGAAGGCAAATCAGCGGTAATCAATTTAAGGTATCAAATCGTTCAGGTTTTCACATATTCCCCCACTTTTATTAAATTATTAATTTAAAAAGCAGTCGATTTCATTTTAACTACTGCGCGCACATACATGTTCAAAGGGGGTTGTGATATTTTAAAGATGGATTTTAATTTCAAACACACAAATTAAAAATGAATGGCGGCGTATATGTATATCATCAGATCATGATTAACTTGAAGCTAAGGCCGGCCGGGGGTTTTGCCCTATAGCTGCTAGCTTTTCCCCTTAAAACGTTGCATCATTCTGCTCGATCACTCCGAATTGAAGCTGCTGCAAGCTAAGTGTACATGTTATTTCCTTCGTTTGTTTTTCGATTCAAGCTAAGCTAGCCACGCCGTGAGTTGTGCAACCAACAATTAGCTAGCTAGCTAGCTACTTAAGGATATGATTGGCCGTCGTTCAATTCGTACGTACGTACGTACGTTCAATGATTGTGACGGAACCTCCCGAAATCACCAAATTTTCTCGAACGGGTCTTGTCCAAAGGAGTCGTCGGAACAGTATTCTCCCCAGAATACACCACTTCCGGCGACAGTCCCGCCTTCTGCCGCCTATTATTAGGGCTGGCCCACACCAAGGGGCTTAAACAGAACGTCGTCGTCATCCCACGGCTCGAACCGCCGCTCTTTCTGCCGCCGCCTCTCTCCTGCGGCAAGGAGCTGGCCGGAGTGCTCTGTTTCCGGATCGGGGAGGCGGCGGACCGTGACGAGCACCCACTCGATCCGCCGTCCTCTTCGTCTTCAACAGTGTGTCTGGCCGCCGCGGCAGTAGAAGTAGACTGTTGATGATGATGATCACGATCCCGGAACGAAATAGTATGGAATTTATTATTATTATTATTATTCTTGTCCGGATTACGACCGAGAACTCTGGAGAACCAGCTGGTGGTGGATGAAGAAGAAGGAGAAGTCTTATAAGCGGCGGACGAGGGATCATCAGAGTCCTCGGGATGACGGCCGGATGACTTAGTAGTAGGCTTGTTGAATAAATGAGAGAAGAGGGAGCGCCGCCGCCGCCCGTTCTGCCTCTTCTTCCTGTGAGCCGCCTCATACTGATCTTCCCAGGAAATGAGCTGGCCGCTGGGGCCAACCTGTGGAGTAGCGTAGAAAACGGGTTGGCGGCGGCAGGTACCCGCGTCGGTATAGGGCGAAACGGAGCGCGGGAAAGCTGCAACAGGCTCATGATGATGATGATGATGAAGAGTACGGGCCTGGGCATCGTTGATGGCGAGCAGCTCTTCACGAAGGCAAGAAGCACAAACGCCGATTGCGCTGCTCATGTCGGCCAGATGTCGCGTACACCTCATCATCATGATATATATATGGTTCCGAATTCCGATTGATCAATCTAGCTAGCTAGCTGTTGGGCCGGCCGCGCCGCTCGATCGCCGGACACTTTCGATCCTGATAGCTATATATATAGCCGCGGCCGGCAGCGCGCGCGCGGGCATTGCATTTGGCTTTCAATCGAGTGCGCCCGCGCCGATGATGAACGACAGATCAGAGACCAACAACGTCAAGCTAGCTAGCTAAGTGCCTCTTCTTCAATTCTTCTCTTAAATAAAATCAATGAATTGAATACTCTTCCCTCACCCTACCAAAACAGTTACCTCTTTTGTATCAAAATTCTCGTTTTCTCTTTGCTAAATAGGGAGATCCAATAATAGTCAATTGTGCCCTCACACATTAAAATTAGATATACCTAAAAAATGGAGGATTCTACCAAATCATTATAGTCCTTCCGTCCCGTTAACAATGTAACAAAAGAGAGCGACACGCAAATTAATAAAAAGTGGTTTATGTGGTTGATACTGAATTGATAAATTAAGAATGATTTAGAGCCACACAAACTTTATCAAATTTAGTATGTGACAATCTTTTTGGGACGGACCGATAAAGTAAAATGAGATAATCATAGCGGGACGGAGATAGTATCATTTTTAATTTAGATTCAAATAATTCAACTTTAACATTCTGATTGGTCAATTTGAACGAAGGTATGGTACCTTATGGGTACCATAAAAGCTACCTACTTACATACTCAATTTTGTTTTCATGACTATATTACTATTATATGTCTAATAATTTGTGGCGCTCCCTCCGTCCCGAAAATGTTTGACAAATTGACTTTTCTTGGTCAATGACAATCAACTTTAATCAATGATATTTTTAATACGAAATTATTTTGAATATGAAAATTATATCAAATTGTTCCTTATTCAAAATATTTTCATAAAAGTATAAAATTTATAAATTATACAGAAATATAATAATTAAAATCATTGTCCAAAGTTTGCCATATTTGACTAAAAAAATCAATTTGGCAAACCTTTTCTAGAGATAGTATAAGTGCGCACTATTTATTACTATGAACAAAATAATCGCAAATATCACTAATTGTGCAGCGCTTTTATAGAAACCGAGGGGTAAATTAAATATGTGTATCAGGTAAATTATTTCTTTTTTAGTCGTAACATTCCCTTTCCATGTTTGACAATGCGCAACTTTGACCTTCATTATATTTAATTTTCTATTAGTAAAAATGTTTTAAAAATCAGATCATTAAACTTTGTAATAAGACTAATTGAACAATATTTTTCAAAAAAATAAAATTCACATACATTAATAAATTTAATGTAATCAAAGTAGAATATACGAATGATGTATAAATTCCACTGTTGCAACTATTAGGATACGGATGATAGTATATGTAAAATCACTAATTGTGCCGCAAATACACCTTATATATATAAGAGTAGGAATTTAAAAAGATCGATTGATAGATGCATAAATATAACAATTCACAAAGTCACAAATAAGATACAGGCTAGAAGGGTCAGGGAAAATATAATAGCCAATCTTCGTTGTATTCAATATTCTTTTTCTTTATTACTTTTGACTTTTAACCAATTATAAAGTGTATAAAAAGAAGTAAAATTGGTCGGATATTACTATATAATTATCTTTGAAAGGTGAAAAACGCGGAGTTCTGGCCTGGAGTCAAGAAGATAACAACGTGGTGATTGCGCTATTGCAATATAATGAAGTTGGTACACAAATTAAACCATAGACCACAACATTAATAATAATTAGTCTTCCAAGTTTTTTGAAAATGTAGACACATAAATAAAAAGAATACTGTACTGCTTTTAGTTTCTTCAAAATTAGAAAACATCATTTTTCTAATCCCGCTAGGCACATTTAGGGGAGAGGAGGGAGGTCTCGGGTGGAAGGTTACCGTGTCCTAGCGGAGGTCTCGGCTTCGAATCCCGCTAGGCACATTTAGGGGAGAGGAGGGAGGTCTTGCTCCCAATGATTCTTCCTACCTTCACGGAGTTGCTCAGTGGCTGAGAAGGGAAAGGATGATAATGAAGGTATCGGGTTCGTGTGGTGGGAGGAACAACCTGAAAGGTGATGTAAGTCCTGCTGGATTCGTCCTTTGGAGCCGGTACTGACGAAACTGACTGTGATCAGATCCGGACTTAACTGTCTAGGGGCTTTGGAGGGTAGTTCATAGACTCCAGGATCATGGGAGCGTAAGCCCGACACCCGGATTATAAAAAAAACAGCATTTTTCCCAAACTGTAAACAATTTTCTAAAGTGATAAAAAATCATTATTTTGACCAGCTTTATCACTGTCAATCATGAGTATTATGGGTAAACATGTCACGATCGATGAATTCCTATTGTTCTGTTATAGTACTTCAATTCCTATAACGACTCCAATGTTAATGCAAACACAACAAAACTATAATTGCATAAGCAACGATATCATTCACTCTGAAAACGATGTTTCAAAACACACACTTACAATTAAGGGATGGACCGGGCCCGGAACCAGCCCGGGTTGATACCGGGTCCGGTTCGGGTTGGGCTACCCGGCCGGGTAGCGGGCCGGTTCGGGCCGGGCCCGAGCTGATTTTTTTTTTTGGTGTTTAAATATTAAGTTAACATTAGTTGGACATAAAAAAGTTAAAATATATTTATTTGAAATATGTAGTACAATTGAAAATTGAGAAACAAATAAAATATGAAATACACTTTTTAATAAATAAGAATCAATCGGAATTTCCACCGTCTTCGGTTGTTTCCTCCATAAAGTGACGGGTGGGTTCGATGCTCAGTTCTTGAGTTCTACGTTGGGCCTCTTCAACCAATCGTGGAAGCAAACAAGCGTCTCAAGAGAGAATAAGAAATGTAACAATTAACTAGTTTTATAGGAGAATAAGAAATGTAACAATTAACTACTTTTATAGGAGAATAAGAAATGTAACAATTAACTAGTTTTATAGGAGATTAAGAAATGTAACAATTAACTACTTTTAAGGGAGAATAAGAAATGTAACAATTAACTAGTTTAACAATTAAACAATTAACTTTGAATTATTGTCTAACAACTTTTTTGGAAGTAAAATGTAACTACTTTCTTTTTTATGTAACTATTTCCAATGAATTAACAACTAACAATTAACTAATACTAAAATGATAAGTGAAACAATTAACTAGTTTTATATTAATAAAGAATGTATGAGTGTGTAAACTAAATTAATGGGAGTGTGAGAGTGTATAAGCAAGTGTATAAGTAGATATACTTAATATATATATATATTTATTAGTAGATAATATGTGTATAAGTAGATATAATAATTGTTTAAGTAATATATAATATTATGTTTATAGTATATATAAATATATAATATAAATATATTACTATAAGATGAGTAATAAACTTATATTTAATACTTTAATATATATAAGTATATATTAAGTATATGTAATATGTAAATATAAGTAAATAACAATAATATAATAATTAGTGAAGATGGAGAAGATTAGTAGAGAATAGAGATCAGAGAGTAGGAATATTTGGAGAAGATGTGTAGTAAAATGTATAGAAAAATGGAGTATTTATAGATTTTTTGTACCCCACCCCCACCCCACCCCGGGACCCCAGGGAGCCTCCCAACGGCTATAGAGCCGTTTGGGTTTGTGGGCAACGGTCATAAGGCCTTGTTTGGGCCTCCAATTTTTTTTAAAACTAGCCGTTAGGCCCGGACCGGCCGGGCCGGTTCACTGAAAACCTGACCCGTGCCCGAACCGCCCTACCCGATCGGGCCGGTTCAAAGCCCGAACCGCTCAACCAATACCCGGGCCGGGACCAGCCGAACCGGTTGGGTCCATCCCTACTTACAATATCAAGATGATTGTTTAGTTCTGCCAATTTTGTAAGATTAAGAAGCCGTTTGATAATACTATTTTTCAGCTTATGAGGTTTATCAATCAACTTTTTCATCAAACACGTAATTTTTGTCTTCGCACGCTGAATTGTGTAATAAGAATAAATGAATTTTTTTGTCCAAGATTTGATATCATAATAAAATGACATTTATGATTCATGATAAATGAAAAAATAAGAATAAATTACTTTCCGACCCCCTTATGGCCTCTTTTCTTATCATGAGATTATTCACATGTAGAGATATTTCAATTATACTACTCTCTTTGTCCCATTAAACTTGAGTTTTCACCGGTAGAAATATCTCAATTTTACTACTCCGGATCTTAATAGTCTATAAAGATATGAGAAAGATGTAAAGTGATTTTTTAGTATAATGTATGAATATATGATAAGCAGGGGCGGAGCCAGGACACTGGTCCGGACTGGGCCGGTACAAAGAATATTTTTAGAAAAAAATTTGCACGAAATTTTTTAACTTAAAAATTAAGCCATTTTTAAAATTTGGGGTGGGCCATGGCCTAAGTTGGCCCACCCTAGCTCCACCCATGATGATAAGGCTTTGTACATCCTACTCTCCTTATTGCACTGTAGGTGAGAGCTTTTGCGGCACGCGAGTAATGTTGTTGTTGTTGTATGAATCAACGACAACATCCAAGCCTTAATCCCAAAGCAATTGAGGTCGACTAACATGAATCGATTCATGATATCAGGGCAAAAAAGAGAAGAAAGATGAGAAAAAAATAAAGTAAGATAAAATGGAAAAGATAAAAATAAAATAAGAATATAAGATAGATAAAAGATAAAGAGATAAAGGACATAAGAAAAATAAAAGATGAACATGAGAACATAGAATGATAAATAAAATAAGAGTTGATGAAAGAAAGGGAAGAGGAAGAAAAAAGATCAATCGTCTACACGTATATGCCCTCCCTACTGTGTTCTGTCCAAAGTCATACTCTTATCCAACCCAAAAAAACACATATTAGTTCCGATTCCTCTAATCCAAGTTTGTTTGAGTCTTCCCCTCCCCCTTCTACCTGCATGTTCTCCCCAGCTCTCAACTTATCTAACAAATGTATCACACGGTCTTCTACGCACATGACCAAACCACCGCAATCGAGACTCTTGCATTTTATCTTCTGCAGGTGTTACTCCCACCTTTTGTCTAATTATCTCATTTCTCAAGCAGTCTTTTCTGGTATGTCCACACATCCAACGTAACATACACATCTCTGCCGCACTCACCTTTTGATAATATATGACATAATTGTTAAGATATTAAGATTCACCTAACAATTAATTAGAGTTTACTATAAGTTCTGTTGATGAGCACTTTGTCGTGCTGCGCCAAAATAAATTCAATACTCAACATTTATACGTAATATAACG